TAAAATATCCACATTAGCTGGGTTTGATGGTCAGTGCATTTAATCCTAGCACTTAGGTTACACAGAGGCAGGCAGATTTCTGAGAACAAGGTCAGCCTAGTCTACATAGTGAGTTCCAGGCCACCTGGGGGGCTACAAAGAGACCCTGTCTCCAAAAACAACAAAAAAATCTTTGATGGTTCTATTGTCTCTGAAACATTACTGTTTTACTGTTACTTCACCCTGGGATTGAAGGTATGGGCAACCACACCTGAGGTTGGGATATTATTTTATTTTATGTGTATGAGTGTATTGCCTGCATGTATGTGCAGCCGTGCACCCGTGTCGTGCAGTGCTGTGGAGGTCAGAAGAGGGCTTTGGATTCCCCTGGAACTGGACTTAAGGACGGTTTGTAGCCGCCATGTGGGTGCTGGGAATTGAACCTGAGTCCTCTGCAAGAGCAGTCAGTGCTCCTAAGTGCTGAGCCATCTCTCTAGTCCCCTGAGGTTGGGATTTTAAGAGGAGAAAGAAAAGTAAATCTTTTCTCGTACAGCTCAGCATTGCTACTTTGTATATCATTAAAGATGATTGTTTCTTTTTGTTCTGCATCCAGGCTAGAGGGACTTTATTTTCTATTGCTTTGTAACAAATTGTTCCAAACTTAGTGGCTTCAAGCAACATTTATTATCTCATACTTCCTGTGAGCCACTCAGTCCTCTTGGTATGTTAACTTTTTTGACTTTTTTTTCTTTCAAGGTCCTAGTCTAAGTGTTAGTTTAAATGCAGTCAAGCTATCTTAAGGTACAGTTGCAATGATCTCCTTTTGTGCTTGCTCAAGAAGCTGTAGGCGGGACTCACTTCTTCCCAGGGTTTTGGCTGGCCTCCTCTTTTGACTCTTGTCACAAAGTTGTCTTCAGAAGTCATCTCACAATAGAGAAAGCAGAGGAGAGAATCCTGGACTATGTATGGTGGATATTACTGTCTGCTGTTCAGGGGAAGCAGTTATACCCAAGCTGGTGGAATTACTGCTTACAAGATAAAGTATAGCTGAGTTCCTGGCTGGGAGCCAGTACATCCATGGTATCCCTCACTTCCTGATGGTTATTTGCATTTGGTGGATTGGTCATCTCACTTTAAGAGTTCTCTGAGGGGCTGGAAAGATAGCTCAGCAGTCAAGAGCACTGGGTGCTCTTGCAGAAGACCTAGGATCAAATCCCTGCACCCACTTGGTGGCTAACAACCATCAGTTCCAGTTCCAGGGAATCTGATGCCTTCTTCTGACTTCCGAGGGCATTGTACAACATGAGTGCACTTACATACATGCAGGCATTACACTAATACAACACAGACACACACAAATTTTTTATTTTTAAAAAGTTCTCTGAAAGGCCATTCCAATGTGAGATTTACTTTTTTTCAGCTAGCCACTCCAAGAGTTCATTCATCATTTCCTTCTGCCTAAACTGATACCCCCGCCCCCTTTTTCTTTTGAGGCAGTGTCTCTTTGTAGCCTCAGCTGGCCTGAAACTTGCTATGTATACCAGGTTGGCCTAAGTCTGCCCGCCTTTGCCTCCCAGTGCTGTGATTAAGGTCATGTACTACCACACTCAGCCCTACTTTGCTCTTTGAGGGTACTTCCTAGTAAACCTCACATTAAAAATTCTCTGTTACAGAATCTGTGGCTATTAGGCATTGTGAGACAGTATAGTAAGATAGAAAGAAGCTTCACCTAGTTGCAGATTTGGTAGAACAATTTCTCACAGGTATATGTATATATGGCTTCATATATATGATTCTGTTCCTCCCAATCAGCCATATTTATTCTCTCCATTTCCTATTTGAGACTACATTTTCAGGTAAGTAGTTATTTTAGGAAACTTTACCCTTGATCAGTTTCATATTCAGAAAAGATTGATTTCTACATTAAAATCAAGTGTCCTGAACAGGGCCAGTGAGGCAATTGCCAAGTGAAGGCAATTGCTACCAAGCCTGACAGCCTGAGTTAGATCCCCAGGACCCACATGGTAGAAGGCCAGAACTGACTCCTGCAAGTTGCCCTTTGCCTTCCACCTGTACACCATGGTGCACAAAAAGTAAATAATTTTTAAAAAATCATTTTTGAGTCCTGAATTATTGAGCCTCTCTGATCATCTGTGTTCAAATAAAGAAGAAAGATGAAAACTACCCAATATACTACAAACTTATTTTTCTGTGGAGCTAAAACCATCTAACATAAGTTTGATTAAATGGTATAAATATGAGAAAGTTATCAGAACAAAATAAGGAACAGTGTGAAGGTAGAGAAGGAAGAGATTCATTAGATAACTGTCAAAGACCACAGATATAATAGAAAAAAAGATGGATAAATTTTGACTATCAAAACTGAAAATGTATACATTATTTGAAGACAAAGTAAAGATAACTGGCAAAGTAGGAACAGTTTACTCAAATATTCAGGTTTTCTGTTCAGAATACTTACCCAGCTTATGCAAATCTGTAAAAAACATTTAGCACACAAAGTTGGTATGAGCAGACAAGAAAGGTTAATGGCTATACAGATGAAAAGCAAAAGCATTCAAGTGGTATTTCTTCAGAGCTACAACTTTTATTCCATACATTTTCTTTTCAGTTTTAAACGTGTCTTTTATATTTTCTACTGAGAGATATATTTGTATACAAATGGTGGAACCTGACTCTTGGTAGAGGCAATATATTCATATTTGGTACATCTCATTCTTTGTGTGAGTGAGGCACATTTAAGTGTAGGTAAAACTCCTTTGCCAAGAAATTTAGTAGTTGTATAGTCAGAATATTTCCTAGGGAGTCTAAAGTATGGTAGAGATACATGTAGGACTACAGATAGTCTCAAGGCTTCCTTCTTCCTCTAATAGAGCTTTTGGTGTAGTTGAATTTTGGGTGATTGTAAGATAAATTTTATTCTTGGCTTTGTATTCTAAGCTTTTTGTCTGCTGTGAGTTGAATTTTACTATAACTCCAAAATACATTTGGCCTTTCTGTCAGGAATTTAATTTTTATTATTTGAATTCCCAGGCATCTTCTACTTGAGTTTGCCCAAAATAGTGCTTGGCAGGAAATGCCAGTTTCTTAGTTCCTGGGAACACATAGTTTAAAGATGAAGTGGAAACAGGTGCTGTCTTCCTATTGCCTTCTGTCCCTGCCCCATAGTCAAAACACACATAATATAGCAATGGCTCTGAAGTTTCAGTCATTAAATGGGATTGATAAAACATGAATCTTGTTATTTTCCTTTCTGATTAGGAAACTATCATGTATTGACTTTGTGAGTTTTCTCTGTAAAAGGAGAAAATTTCACGTGATTTTATTACCTTAGTTTGTAAAACATTTGACACTACTTGGCAAGTCATAAGCGTTTAATAAGATGGTAGTCTTTGTTATTACATGTATTCCTGACTTGTAATATAATTGAGAATTTAAGCCATAATTTGTGGGAGGGTCTGTGGTAAAATGATTGTAACTGACCTCAAAGAGTTGACTAGAATTGAGCACGTTGAGAAGTGTAGCAGTCTTAAATTGTCTACATCCTCAATGTCTAAATTTCTAAATTATTTTTTGAGAAAGATTTTAAAAATTATTATGTCTGTGTTTGGGTGTGTGCATTTGAGTGCAGGTGCTCATAGGAGGCCACGGGTGTTGGGGTCCTCTGAAGCTGGAGTTAGGAGCAGCTATGAGTTGCCTGACAGGGTGCTGGGAACTGAACTCAGATCCTCTGTAAGAGCAGTACATGCTCTTAACCATTCAGCCATTTCTTTAGCCCCAAATTATATTTCCCTTTTAGCTTTTTTTGGTGGGAGGGTTGTTTGGGGGGTGGGGGGGGTCTCCCTGTAGCTCCAGCTGGTCTGTTACTTGCCATGTAGACCAGGCTGGCTTCAATCTCACAAAGATCTGCCTGTCTCTGCCTCCTGAGTGCTGGGACTTAAAGGTGTGTGCCACCACACTGGTTTTACTTCACCTTTTTTGGGAGGCGGTGGGAGGAGGAAAGGGTTTATTTCATCTTACACTTCCATGAGGCAGGTAAAGGCAGAACAGTACAGCTGCCTACTGATGTTCACATCACTTTTTTTTTTTTTTTTTTTTTTCCCTTTTTAAAAAAGGGGCTCCCTGTAGCCCCAGCTGGCCTGGAACTCACTATGTAGATCAGGCTGGCCCTGAACGCACAGAGATTGCCTGCCTCTGCCTCCCAAGTGCTGGGATTAAAGGCATGCGCCACCACACCCGTCTCACTTCACTTTTAAGTGATCCTTCTGCTTGTGATTGTAGATGTAAGTTGAAAGGCATTTGGAGTATTGAAAAATCTAAAGTACTGTTGTATAATGGAGGTAATATCTGCATTATCAACATGCTGCCACTAGCACAGGAAGCCATTGTGATTGAGGAATTGGAATTTTTAATTAAAAAAAAAAAACTGGTTTGAGGCAGGGTCTAATTGTGTAGCCCTGACTGCCTTGAAACACTGTAGACCAGGCTGGCCTATAACTCACCCAGATCCACCTGCCTCTGCCTCCTGAGAGCTGGGATAAAGGTGTGTATCATCATGCCTGACATTTAGTTTAATTTTTGTTTGTTTGTTTGACAGGGTCTCCCTAGTCCCAGCAGACTTGGAAGTCACTATGTAGACCAGGATGGCTTGGATCTCACAGCGATTTGCCTCCCAAGGGCTGGGATTAATCTTTAAAATTTAAGGCACGGTCTTACTGTGTTGTGTGGCCCTAGGAGGCCTCAAATTCATTGCTTTCCTTTCTCAAGTTCTTGAGTGCTCAGATTATAGCTGTGTGACATCCTTGTGACCCTTTTATTTGGTTTAATATTATTATTTAAATTAAAAAGAAATAGCCATGTGTGGCTAGTGGCTGCTATATTGGGTAAGCATATGAGTGAGTTCCAAATGAAATTGAGTTTGCTGCCAAAGAAATAGAATAGAAATAAGTATTTCCAATGGTGATTTATAAATTCACTACATAATGCTGTTTATTTTATTGTAGGTCTCCAATTGAGAAACATGGCACTGTTTTTCCTGCACTCTACCCACCTATTGCTGGACTTCTGTTGTAACAAGTTGGCAAACACTGGCTGGAACTGGGCTGCAATAAAACATGCCAGTTATTAATGCTGACAAGAGCCTAACAAGTGCCAACTTACAGAGGATTACGCGTTTTGAATTCTAATGAACTGTTTTAACCTTCAGGAAGAATTGTAAAGACCTGTACATAGCACAACATGATCCGGATAATATATATACTGTTCATGTACATCCACAAATACACCTTGTACCAAATAATGCTTTTCTTGTAGTAGAATAAGAATCGTGTAAATTCTAAAAGATTTTAGCAGGTTTTCTTTTCCTATTCATTGTTTATCAGTTCAAAAAGATTCCTTAAAGCATGTCAGGTGAAAACCAATTAGGATTAAAAGTTTCCATATAATTTCCTTTAAACCATTGAGTCTCATTAAACTCTTCCCATTTACTAAACTTTTGTATCTTCTTTGTTTTGACACACTTCCCCTTTCCTTTTATCTCCTCTGTCTACCAGAAAGTTCTCAAATCATTTAATTCAAATACTGAAATACCTAGTAAATTACTTGATTCCCCCCCCCCCCCAGATGACTTCAGAGGAGGGTCATCACTCGGTGCTTTGTCCTTTTTTGTATTCCAGTTCACCCATCTTTTGGATTGGATGTAGCAATAACATTTTCTGGCTGTTGAGCGCTCTTGATATCTTAGTCATTATCTCCTGAGAACTTTAGGGAAAAAAAAGGGAAAAAAGAGTCTGTTCTAAGTTCAACTTAGTGAAATTTATTCCAAACAATTCAAAATCCAGATTTGGTTTTATTTTTGCCCTTAAGTTGCCTAATGTTAAGGTTGGATGAATAAAGCATGCACAGCTACAGGCTTTCAACATCTGGGTTTGTTATTAGAAATGCTGTCTGCCCTCATACCCTTCTCCTTATTCCTTCATATTTCTTCGCTTCTTTACTGCAGATTTTCCTCACTTCTTGTAAAAAGAAATGCGATGTATATTTTCATGTAATTTGATTTTGGAACTTTGTCACCTTATGTAGTGAGTTCTTCCAAAATATAATTTTTCCAATAATTGTCAAGTTGTTGGCTTTTATTGTACTGAATGAAGGTTAAAATACTGAATGCCAGAGAAGTGCAGTTTAGAAAAATCTCAGGTTGATTCCTTATGCAAACAAACTTAATACTTGAAAATTTCACGGCCATGGCAGTATCCATATTGGGTTCTATCTAGATTATCAGAATCCAAAAACATTACAGGAGTAAATTGTTTGCTAATTAACATGCAGATTCTATCACTGACATAGTGCACTTAGATTTGGTTAATGTTTGAGCATAAATATATTTCATACACAATTTTCTAAAACAACTTCTGTAATTGGCAAAATGAGTACGTGCATGGTTAAAAACAGGTGGAACTTCCTGTTTTTAATTTGAGAGTGGGAAGTAGTGTTTGGTACATAAGAAATAGACCTAAGACAGTACCAGATGGGTCATGGAGTTTGAGTGTGAGAATCAGTGAGAATAGGCGTGTCTCTGCTCTGTGGGACTTAGATAAATCCTTTGGCAGAAGAGTGAATGAAAGGATTCCTGTCAAAGCCAGACCTCTACTAACCTTGAATGTCTTTTTAAAGCAGAGATGAAATGGATGAGGGTATAGTCGTGGTAGAGTGGTATTTCTAAAGCTTAGTACTTGGAAGCATTGTAAAAAACCATAAACATTATACAAACTCCTAACAGTGTAGTGACTGAGCACTTTGATTTAGTTGGAGCCCAATTCTGTTCAAAAATCTTTGAAAATTTTTTTTTTTTCAGAGACTAAAAATTATTGTCCCACAGTGCTATTGCCCGTCCTACAAGGGACTTGGAATGCAAACTTCTTCACTCTTAAATCTGAAATTGTCCTCACAGAGGTTGCTTCGGCGGTGTGGAGTTGGGTTTTTTTCCCCTCTCCTATTGCTGTCATTCTAGCAATCTGTTGAGTTAAAACCTGGGATTTGACTGTTCAGCAGGTAGCAAATGACTAGTAGTAACTCAGGGACAACAACTTCTGAACTTCTTGTTAAGTGCCACTGTAATTTAGTTACTTGGGAATAATCATGTGGTTCTTTAGGATAGATCAGGGGCAGTAGAAAGCCAGGAGTAAATTCCTCTCTCCTCATGCTCTTTCCAACCTGATTCCCTGACCTTGCTACATGCAAAACACAGACTTAGATGTTAGGACTTACTTTCCTCTGTCAGAGATGTCATCTGTGCCTTTCCAAGTGTTCATCTGACAATGTGAATTTTAAATGCCTCTACATTTGATATGAAACTCATGCTCAGGTGGCACTACACCAGGTGGCTTTTGTTCCACCAATGCCTCATTAGTGTGAGGCAATTCTCTGCTTTAGGAAAAGTCCCATCCCCCTCTTCCCCAACCTGTGCCAACCACAAAGAACATTACATAGTCCTTTAGGTTATAGAACTATTGGCTGTTACTTAAATTTATTCCAAGTTCTTGTAGAGGCTTCTCAATTTCAGCCTGTGTTTATAATGGCATGATCTCAGTGGCTTTATGGCCTCTTGAGTTAAAATCCATGAGGTTGATTTCCTTGTCACTAAAAGGTAATGTCTATGAGGTTATTCTTCTAGTTCCGTGATCACTTGGGTGTCACAGTATCTTTTAATGGCCTTCATTCCCAGTTATAAAATTTTATTTATATGCTCATTCACCTTCTACAAATCTGCCCACTTTGGGTTGTGGTGCCTGTGTATCTTTGTCTGGTCTCCAGTTGGTGGAATTACCTTTTTTGTACTGCCACTTCTCAACATCTTTGAAATTTGACATAATGTTGCTTCATTCCAGTTTTTTGTTTTGTTTTGGTTTTTTAGTTCTGTAATTTGTTGACTGTATTTAACTATGTGAGTTTTGTTGTGATGTTTACTGTATTGTAAAGCACCTTAATCATGTGATGGGTGCTATATAAATCAATAAATGATGACTTAGAGGCTGTATTATGAAGTATTTTGGTTTTAGGAAGGTCTCAAGCAAGTTGTGGGATTCTTTCTCTATAAACAGCACATATCAAGCGATACATGGGAAAACATTGATAAATTTCACAGCCTTTAAAGAAGGAACTCGAAAGCAGGAAATTAGCTTGATTTCCAAACTGAAATAGTCTTTAATTTTCCAAGCATCATTTTCATCAGTTTCCATGCACAGTGATTTACAAGCTCAAACTGCGCACACAATAGAACATTAATTAGGGATTTTGTCTTAATTAAACTAGGCTCTTCTAAGTGCTGGGACTAAAGGTGTATGTCAGCACACCTGGCCTTTTTTCTTTTAAAGATAAGTATATCTTGTCCTGAATCCTCAAATAGTTTATATGTATTTAGTGTTAGATATTGAAAACTGATTTGCTGTAGTGATGGTGTTAAGTTCCCTGTGCCTATTAGGCTCCTCCCTACAAAATGAAAGAGCATTGAGCCAGACATTTCTGAATCAGAAACAAAATTCTGATTGTAATTTTCCTGATTGAAATAAACCTGCTGTGAAAGGGAATGGTTGTTGCCCCTGAACTTTTTCAGCTTTATACATAACCATCTTCAGGTGTATAGTAAGTTTTTGCATGCTGCTTCAGGTGCACATGAGCAGGTTTATTTATTTTTTTTAACTCTGGTACTGTATACTAGGCACTGAGCTTCCAGGAAGGTTTTTTCCATTCCCCTCATGGAAATACTAATTTAAACTTCTGGAGACCTGCAAAGCTCAACAGAATTTAGTTTAAAGAGAAAAGGCTTCCTGGCTATGATATTTCTGGTTGCTCAGTTTCAGGTGTACAAGATGGGATAAGATTTTTTGGTTTGCTGAGCTTTAGTGACTAGACATAATTTTAAGCCCTGTTCACATAGGTGAAACGACTCAAATGGCATGGCTTTCACAAAAGGCAGCCAGACACGTCTTAGATATGGCTGCACAGCAAGTCCTAAGCAAGAAATCTGACTTTCCTCCCCCAGTAGTATCCATTTATTCAACCTCTAAAGTTGAGGATGTTGCCCAATGGCAGAAGGCTTGCCTAATGTGCAAAGTCCTAGGTTTAATACCTAGCACCACATATACACAAAGGGTTGGAAACATGGCTTGTTCAGTGAAGCTTGCCCAGCAAACATGATCTGAGCTTCCACCACAGTCATTGCCTAAAATCCCAGCACTGGCAGAGTCGGGAGGGGCTTATTGGCCAGTCAGTGTAGCCAAATCTGTGAGCTTTAGGTTTAGTAAGAGACCCTACATCAAAAAAGGTGGAGGGCAAGTGAGCAAGATACCTTGACCTCTTGCCTCCACGTTACACACAAATGTGCACACATATACATAAAAGTTATAATAGCAGTTGAATGTTGGTGGTAACATTCCTAACAAGAACACCTTTCCTTGTGGCATGCATGTTTTGCTATCTTTTTTTTCATAATAGATCTGGTGAAATTCTTAGGATCACTAAGGTAATTATCTCAAGAGGAAACAGGTTTGGGGAGATGTGGTGCATGCCTGTGATCCCAGCACTTTTGAGGTGAATGCAGGAGGATCAGGAATTCTAGGTCATCTTCAGCCACAAGTTCTAGGCTGCCCTAGACTATATTTTTGATACCCTGTCTCATAAAAAAAAAAAAAAACAACACCCAACTTTAGGTTAATTTGCCAGAGTTGCAAAAGTGAGCCAAAGATAAAGCAAATGATGCAAAATAGATCTCAGCTATGACAGCATTTTCCACTCTGAGGTGGTTTTTGTTTTTCTTTCTTGGGTTATTTTTGGGATATATCTACCTGTAGCCCCAGCTGGTCCAGAACTCACTATGTAGACCAGGCTGGCCTTAAACTCACAGAGATCTGCCTGCCTCTGTCTCCCAAGTGCTGGGATTAAAGCTGTGCACCACCATACCCGGCCAGGTTATTTATATTTTTTAAGACATGGTCTCATTATATGAGCACAGGACTGTTAATTACACATTCCAGTGCCTTCTTGGCTGGCCCGGACCCACTATGTGGTCCAGGCTGGCCTACGTCATTTTTATGCCACTGTCTTGAGATATTTTAGGAGACACTGCACTAGCTTGCCTGGCCACCTCAACACCCCTAAAGAAAAGTTCACCATTTGGCACACCTATAAACTATTCTCAGCAGGGAAGCTTTGAGCTCTGTCATCTCCATTGAGATGGACAGATAACTCTACAGTTCTTTGCTGACATGCTGCTTCTAAGGCCACTACTTTAAGCATCACTCTTCACACAGTCTCCTGAGCACAGGACTGTTACTACACATTCCAGTGCCCTCTCACATTTCTTAAGTGTCTATCAGCCAGGGTTAACTAACCCTTCTTCCTCATAATTTTAACCCTTCACCATATTTTTCCATGACCTAAAAAAATGCAAATTCCTTAACTATTCCACTACCGACTAATGCTTTGTGATAGTACTTAGTTCCCAACTTCAAGTACTTTGGTTCTAACATCTTCTTCCTATTTCTGACTGTGCTCTAGGGGCCACTTCCTCCCTGAAGTCCTTAACTGTTTATGCACTCTTTTCAGTCTCCTGAGTTTAAAAAAAATCTTTTTTGAGCTGGGTATTGAACCCAAGACTTCATACATAATAGTTAAGCATACTAAGCCTTTTTTTCTTTTAAAAGAACCATACTCTAGATTACTTTTTAATCCTGTTTTGCTATTATCCAATAGTCCAGTCAGTCCTATATTTACCAAAGGTTTTAGCTCCTGGTTTATGGTCTTCCTTTCCTCTATTTAAACTTCCAACATCTAATTATCCGGGGATTTATCATCTCTTAGAGCCATTTGGCTATGAACAGTTTGCCACTTTGACCCCAGGAATCTCACAACTTTGCTTACACTGCATTATGACCCCTACATTTGTCCTTAGCCAGTCTCCGTGCCATATTTGATAAACCGAGCTGTAGCCTCAATTTTTTGACAAATGCTGTCATTCAAATCGCGTCTGTCATTCAAATCACTTCTGACACCTCCCAACGTTACAAGGTGCTCTGCGGACCGACCCCGCGGAAGATGAAACAGACCGGTCAGCACTTGGCAAACCTCCCAGTGCACCCTTGTATTAAAACTCCAGCGGGGTGCGGCTTCCCGCTCCACTTTCATTCACCTCTTTCCTGTGTCCGGCTCCTCCCTTTGCCGCGCCTCCCACAGTCTCGCGAGACTTGATGGCTCCGGTAGCCGTGCACTTCTCGCGAGGCTGCAAGCAGGGCCGGCCCGACATGGCGGAAGGTAGGGTTTTTGTGGAGTGGCGCGGGAAGGCACTGAGCCGTGGGGTTACCACTCATCGGTAGCAGCAGCCCCGGGAGGGGAAGGCCGGGCGTGGCTGCACGGGGCACCGCGGGTCTCGGGAGCCTTCCTCTCCGGCCTCTCAGGGTTCTTCGAGCCAGGGTCCCGGGCGCCGTTCCTATGGCAACGCCCCTCCCGCTGTCTGTCCCAGCGGAACCTCCGCGGGCTGCGGAGCCGGGTGAGGAAGTTCGGACTGGGGACCGAGCGCTGTTCGAGGCTCGGGAGGGCTGCTCCTTGTAGTACCGGCGATGCTGGAACGGCGGGGGAAGTGACCCTCTGCTTAGGAAATGGAAACTGCTGCCATGGCAGGTCTTGCATCCGGAAGGGGTGCATCCCTCGCCTGCGGAAGAGCTTGGGACTCTTCCCCGACAGAGCTGGGGGAGAGATTGGGCTGACATGACCCCACGCGATTCCTGCGCGCGCTTTGGATCTGACTCCGCTGCAGCCGCCTGTGCGAGCCCGGGGATTTTCTCCCAGGGCTTACAATGGGGCCCAGCGGAGGCGTTGAGTGAGGGAGTTGGCCAAGGTCAAAGTGCTGGGAGAGGTGTGCGAAAGCCGGGCTCCTTTGCCTCCCTGTCGGGTACTTGTTTGTGGTGCACTGTTTCTGACACTGCAAGTAAAGGCATTCTGGTCTCTCAGGTTCCGCCTCCCTTAACGTAGCATCTTTTATTATTAAAGTCTTACTGTACAGGTTGGGGAAAAGAACGCCGGAACTTGCCAGGGATTGACAGTGAGACTATTGGACCTGGCCTGTGTGCTTCTCCTATATATCCTGTTGTTGGAGAAGAATACTTCTTGTTTGACTTTTTATTGAATAACTGTGGTGTGCTTGGTTCAAACCTGTCTTGTTGGTGTTGAACTAAGCTTTGACTGAATCTGTCATTTCTTTATCTGAGATTTGGGTAACTTGACCATTGGTGTAGATTTCTGGTTTGGTTTAAGCATAATCTTATGAAGGAGGCCTGCCAAGTATGTTTTGCCCTTTAGAGATAGATGAAGGAATGGAGGCCAGAACTAGAGCCGGTACTGGACCCAGTTTTCTTTTCTTTCTTTGTTTTTTAACCCACATTAGTACCCCTGGAAGTGGAACTCAGGTGAATGCTGTCTGGAAGCAGAGGAGGAAGCCAAGGAACTGACAGTGCTGGGCGTGGTGATGCTTGTATCCCAGTACCTGGGAGGTTGGTGGCAGAAGTGTCAAGAATTTAAACCTGTTCTCAGCCAGCCTGGGATACATGAAACCCTGGTGTGTCATTGTCGTCGTCCCGCTCCCCCCCACCCCCCCAAGGAACCAGGTGGTCTGCAAACCACACAGTATTGTTCACAGGGGGCAGCCAGAGAGTTAGACAGTGTTACTTAGCAGTAAGATGGGGTAGGAAGGTTCAGGAAGATACATCCTGCTTTTAGGAAGGGGATTTGAGTGTTTGGGGAATGCATAATCAAATTTCAAATTGTGGAGCATGGTCAGTTTTTCATTCAGTAGCTTTATTAAACACTTTCTATGTTTGCGCTCAGGTTCCAGCTGTAGGGAGTTCATACAGGCTGAGGTCAGCACACTGATTGCTTGCCTGTGGTTGCCTTGAGGTATGTTAGGGTTGGCCTTGAGAGACTTCTAGCCAGTGGAGTGCACACCTTAAACGCAAAACATCCTTTGAGGATTAAATTGGTTGGGTGGAGGGGTGTCAAAAGATGGGAAGATAATAGTTAATCTTGAGCTCTGGCTTCACAGTTAACTTTTTTACACTTCAGTTTCCTTACCTAAGTCACAGGTTAAATAAAACTGCTTGGAAATGATGCTACAAAGTTTGATGAGGAAAGTTTGAGGAAGGCATTCTGGGCCAGTCAGTTCAGTAATCTGAAGGCAGTTGTATAGGCGAGTACGCACTGGGCTCTCAGGGTCCCAGCGCGTACTCCTGGGCAGTGAAAGTTCCTCCGCTACTGAGGTCTACTCAGTCGATCCCGTTCCTATTTCACCCGTATACCTTCCTCAGGATGTGAGGTCCACTGGCCACTTGGACCACACGGGAAGCGTATGAGGGAGGGCGAAAACCAGGGTGTCCGCGAGTCGGTGATGGAGGAATAGCGCCCCCCGGGGAGACTGGATCACAGGATTTAGTGTTACAGCTCAAGACAAGTGACTCAGCTCAGATCTCAGTGATTCAGCTCCAGCTCCAACTTTATTGGGGTAAAACTAGGACTATTTATAGTGTAGAGACAGCAGAAGAAGCCTTAGCTGATAGGTACTTTTAGGATGCCTCATTTACATAGGGCGGTGGGCTTCTATCAGGCTATCAGACAACGCCTGATTAAAAACCTGGTAGCTCCTGTGCCAGAGGGCATGTATTTGTGGCTAGCATTTTAAAAGAGTCAGGGAGGATGTCAGGAAGGCACTCTGCTATGAAAGGAATCTGCAGCACATGGTTTCGGAGCTGGTGAGCTATCCAGACGTGAAGAGATTTCTACTTTGCATAACAGAGGACCCCAACACAGTTGCTCTGTGAAGAAAAAATTTGTTGAAGATATTTTTTTGTTTGTGTTTTTTATTTTGTTTTGTTTTGAGACAGGGTCTCCCTGTAGCTAGTTCCACCTGGCCTGGAACTCACTTTGTAGATCAGCCTGGCCAATCTCACAGAGATCCACCTGCCTCTGCTTCCTGAGTGCTGGGACTAAAGGCATGAGCCACCATGCCCAGCTTTTACAAGTGCTCTTAATCACTAAGTCAGCATCTGCTGCTTGTGTTTTAATCAGGATTGTCAGAGCTGCCTGCTGTTCAGAGATATGCATAAATACACTTAGCAAATTTTTTATTTATTATTTTTATTTTATGTGTATGAGTGTATTGCCTGCATGTATGTGAGTGTACCAGTGTTGTGCAATACCGCAGAGGTCAGAAGAGGGCTTCGGATTCCCCTGGAACTGGAGTTATGGATGGTTTTTAGCTGCCATGTGGGTGCTGGGAATCGAACCCCGGTCCTCTGCAAGAACAGTCAGTGCTCTTAACCACTGAGCCATCTCTCCAGCCCCCACTTAGCAAATTTTTGTGAGCTGTAACAATTAGAGTATTTGTCAGCATACTGTGGAAACTTGCCTGATGTTTTGTCATTTGATGGTGGTTTATGTGTGATAATCAGTGACCAGGAATAGTAAACAGAACCTTGAGAAACCAAGTACACAGTAACTTCTTATCTGACTTGCATAGACAGCTTCCTTTCCCATCAATCCATGGCTGTTCACTTGGCTACAGATGTTTAGCTCACTATTTTAAAAGCTTCCTGTATGGTTTTACTTTTACTTTTTTTCTCCTTGGTCTTGCTTACCCATCCTATCTCTTTTCAGTTTCTAGTGTTCAATCAGATTTTAGACAGACATGGTGACCCACACCTGTAATCTACACCTGGGAGGCAGAAACAGGAGAATCAAGAGTTCCTGACCATGTCAAGTTTGAGGCCAGGCAGGGCTACACAAGACCTTGTCTCAAAAACAAACAAAAAATCTGGGAGAAGGCTCAGCAAGTAAATATACTTGCTGCCAAGCCTGACAACCTGAGTTTGATCCATGGGAATGACATGGTGGAGAGACCCTGTTCCCACAAGTTCTCCTGTGACGTCCACATGCATGCTGTCACATGTATATGCCTCCGTATTAATAAATAATAAAAAAAATAAGCTCTAAATCTCTCATATCCTTTTTTAAAAAAATATTTTTATGTGTATGCATGTATTGCCTGCATGTAGGTAAGTGCACCTGTGTCCTGCAATGCCCTCGGAGGACAGAAGAGGCTGTCGGATCCCCGGGAACTGGAGTTACGGACAGTTGTTGGCTGCCATGTGGGTGCTGGGATTCAAACCTGGGTCTTCTGCCATCTCTCCAGCCTCCAGTCTCTCATATTGTTAATGCTCCTTCTCCAACTGCTGTGGTTCTCTGTGATCTTAAGGTATATTCCAAATGATCTTGAAGTCTCAAAGAGATCTGGTCTTAGTTTGGTGCTGTAACTTGTTTCCTGCTCCTCATTTATTGTGCCCCTGCCACAGGAACTGGCTTTTCTTACATGTTCCCAGACTACTTCTGCCTTTATCTTTGTCTCTACCATTCCTTTGGCCCGGAAAGTCATTTCTCCACATGGCTGACAACTTTTATTCAGATAGCTGTTCTGATGTCATCAGAGAGCTTTTCTGAAGGAATGGTAAATCCCATGAAGTGGGTATTTTTTTCCTGTTTTGCTCACTGTTCTATCTTTCAACTTAGAAGTGTTGAAGGCATGTATGGATTTGCTGAGTACCATTTACCATTCATCCAAAAAGTTTCCTTGGAGGATGAGGGTATAACTCCATGCTTAAGCATGTATTTAACCTGCTCCCAGAGTTGGGTTTAATACCTAGCACTGCAAAACAGGGAAGTTGCCTGGATATACCCTTAGTCTCTTGTCAAGTAAGCTGGTAAGTTCAACTTTTATTTTAACATTGAGAAACATTGGTCAGCTAGGAGCTCCCTAACACCCAGAGCTGTAAGTGTATGCCTTGAACTCAGTGATCCTCCTGCCTTACAGATTTGAGCAACCATACCTGGGCTCCCTTAAACAACTTTTCATCCAGCCCATTTAAATGTAATGCTTGGGCTGGAGATGTGAAGAACTTACCTTGGGTCCAGTCCCCAGCATGTCAGAAAAAGAAAAATGCTTATGAGCCCAGAGTCTGTGATGGTATGAAAATTAAGATTTTCAGTCTTAATTTTCTCAACTTGAGGTGATCTCTATCCCATAAGTAGCTGTGAGGATCAAAAGAAATAGGATATGAATAATTTTGTACAGTGCCTGCTATTTGACCCTGGACTGAGGTCTTTCTTGTAGTCTTCTTAGGTTCTTAAACTATTCTCTCAGAAAATGAAAGTGAAAACTGAAAGGAAAAAGGTGAAGTTTTAAAAACATGTAAATAGTTGATCATAAACTTTTATTAATGTAGTAGAATTTGATCAGGAAAATATTTGGGACAAGCCAAGTAACAAGGTGAGGGGCTGCAGAGCTGACTCAGTGCTGAAGAGCTTGTCTTACTCTTCCAGCTCCCACATGGCAGCTCACAACTGTATATAACTCCAGCTTCAGGGGATCTGACACATTCAGGGCACTGCCCACATGTGGTACACATACATACGTGCAGGCAAAATACTCACACCTGCAAAAAGAAATCTTAAAGCAAGGTGAAAACATTTTTTATTCTGGGCATTTACTGGCCATTACAGAAGTCATTACTAACTATATATAGCTACTTGAATTTAGCACTAAATGCTATTTAACGTTTAGTTCCCAGTCACATTGGTTCCATTCCAAGTTCTCAGCACCCATGTGGCTCCTTTAGATAGCTCAGATCACTAGAACACCTGCATCACAAAAGTGCTGTTGGAGAGCATTGTTCCAGAAAGTGCTTCCTCAGCATAGACAGACTCTGGGTTTCTAAGTTTAAGCATTCACTCATTTAACAAACATCCCAGGCCACTGATAATTAATCTAGTCTAGAGACCTGTTGAGCATTATCCCTTCTCTGCCATTCCTCCCTTCTTCTACCATTGCTTTCTTTCACTGTGGTGCCAGCTGTACCTGATAGTTTTATTCTTGGTAATATTTTTGTTTTGATTTGTGACTGTTGTTTATGTAGGTCTTGAACTCTTGGGCTCAAATGATCCAAGTTACCCCCAGACTAGCTAGGACTACAGGTAGTTCTTTGGGATTTTTTTTTTTTTTCCCTCACAAACGAAGATGAGCCATTTAGTGACTGTGGATGTGATAGAGTTACTGAATCCTGAGAGAGACAGGTTTAGTCATGACCACAGTGATGCACTGAAGGTGATTTGAAACATGATTTAGTCATGCCAAACAGAAAAAGAAATTGCTGTTTGCTGACTATTGTTGAATCTGAGTAGACAGTGCTATTTATTAGCTCCACCTAGTAGATACTGCAGGGAGGAGAAGGAGGAGATACGCTTGGGGTAGGAGTAGAGGCAGAAGGCAGTGGTTAAAGAATAACTACACCTAAAACCCACTTTCAGGAGCTCTGAAGTCCTGGAGGAACAGTAAGAACAGAAGCTTGTTTGAGAGCTATATTGTAAGTTGAAAATTCAGAATAGGAAGAGATTTTTCTAGGGAAGTGGTGTGAAGTGTGTCTGAATCTTATTTCAGAAGATAGTGTTT